TCCGCAGACATTCTGCTGTGCCACTGGGGGTGGAGCTTGTTGTTTGGCTTATGTATGTATATATATATTTCAACTCGGTACTATATACATGCATGATTTTATTGTACTATGTCGAATAAATTGATTTGAATTGAATAATATCTCCCCTTTGACTCTTCTTATAAAACTGACAACTGTCAAAAAGAGCTAACTTTGGTAACGGTCTTTTCTTGCGCTCAGTAAAATGATAAGGAACGGTCGCATCCAGTGGAAATAATCCCCGCGGCTACTTAGCGAACTTGGGTGCTCTATTGTGGTGGACGTACCCATTGTATCGAAACCCAAACATCTTTGCCAACAGTGCATTGTATTCAGTCTTATTTGCTTAAAAACAAACGTAATACGATTTCCCTTATTGAAATAACACATGGAAGGACAAAAGACAGTTGTAAACGGCCCACGAGGCAATCATATTGCATATACACTCTGTGGGTTATATCTATTCATCACTATTTTAAAGAAAATGACCGTTGAATTGTTTCAACAGGCATCTACTAGTTAATATTTAAAACATAGACGCAGAATTTAGTTACCTTAGAAATGGTCTCAGTTTCTGTTCAAACAATAATTCTTAATGAACCTTAATTTCTTTCTGGCCTACAAGGAAACTCAGACTCTGCAATTTTTTTCACAACAGTTCTCACCCTACTGACAACCAACATATTTCAACTTTCAAAGAAAAGTCTTCTTGGACACCACCACCGAACAGAGGACCACATTTAGAGATATATGGTAAAGCTGTAGAAAAACACATATACAAACCTTGCAAGCAATGTCATAATAATCTGAACCAAAAAGAAAGAATTGTTCTAAAGGGTTTCAAATCTAACAGCAGTGCTATAACAAAGCAAGAGAACAAAGGGGTCTGTGGTTTGAATGTCGCACAAAGCTACTCGAGAGCTATCTGCGCTAGCCGTTCCTAATTTATCAGTGATAGACTAAAGGGAAGGCAGCTAATCAACATCACTCACTTCAAACTCTTGGGCTACTTATTTACCAATGAATAGTGAGATTGACCATCACTGTATAACGCCCCATGGTTGAAAGGGCGAACATGTTCGGTGACGGGGATTCGAATACAAGGGTGGGGCTATTGTTATTCTTAACAAAGATGATTATACCACTGAAGCTAACTGCTAACTTGAGGACACTAATTTCTACAAGAAACTCACACAGGACCCTACAACCCAGTTTAGTGAAACCATCAGTAATAAACTTAAGAAAAATAACAAAGAAGTCTTCCAGTATTTGACACCAAAGTAGGCTTAGCTGGGTAGATTTTATCTCTTACCCAAAATAAACAAACCTAATAATTCCAGAAAAATGGTCACTGAAGAGCTTTCTGCTTTTGTTTGTCAGCATATAAAAGATATTTCTTGAAAAAGTCTTTTTGGTGTACAAAACTTGAAGATAGCTTTTATATGCGGAAACATCTGTTAGCT